TACCAGATGATGCACCGAACACGCGGCTCTGAAAAATGCCACGCGTTGGCAAAACAAACAATTCCTGTGGAACCGCGGCGCTGCCCCCACGACTATTCGAATCGGCATGCGCTTCACAGGGGGGCCGCGCTATGCGTCAGTCGAAATTGCCTCACAACGCTTTGGAAATTCCACAGCACCCCGCTTCACAGAAATGCCCAACGACGCTGATAATGAACCCTACGATGCCCGAAGTGCTACGCAAATTACGGAAGTTATTGGAATGGGTCCAGAGCGAATTGGACCAAAACGAGCTGTAGGTGAACTTGGGATGATAAGGGATCCTGTCGCGAGCGTGGAACAATTGTACTCTGGAGAGCCAGTGGTGTCACGCAGTATACGGCCGGGCAGAGACGGGGCATGCATTACAATGGATCACCGCGCTGCGAACTTGCATTTTGACAGAAAAAGTGGGACACGTATCTTTCCCGTGAAAAAGCACACGAAGACAGGAGCAATGAAGCCAGCAAATGAAGTTGCTGCGCAGTGGGCCGTTGCGCTCGATACGGCCATGCCCCACAGAACTCATGAAGACGCTAGTGTCCATGCGAAATGTTGGAGCGTCAACAAGCCATCAAGTGTTGAGCGCAATTGCTTGAAAGCTTTTTTGTGTGCGACTGCGAGTTCGGAAGCGGCCTGGGAAGGCGGGATCAAGAAAACCCTCGGGAAATACCTTCGGCAAATGGGGGCCAGGAGCTCCCGACGGCCCCATTGGATCGCAATGATGACGGAACGAGCGATTGAAATGACCACGGCTGATCCCGACTTTGCCACCGATGCACTCTACAACTTGCAAGTTTGAGGAATATCCAACCCATTTTTACATCAACGTAAAACGGCAAAACGCTAGGTTTCTGTGCGACACTTACGACATTGAAGGCTTCTCCGAACTCCACAATTCCAGTGCAGTCGAGTATGACACATTTGTCTCGCACACTCCTTCGGAAAGTACATTGTTCCGCTGCGGTGGCTCTTTTCCTGGGCTGGCTCTCTTCGTTTCAGAAGCGCTGCTGAAGGAAGTTGGCCTACAAGATCCACAGGGGTTCCAATCGCGCCACTTGGTCCAAATGGAGGGGCTGCCCATGTCTTCTGGTCAAAGTCGGGGGGGCAGCCCAGCTGTGCAATAACATGTCTTGGAATAGTCACTGAACGCCACCCGAGCTGAGCACCTCCGCGCTTTGACACAGGCGGTGGCCCAGTTCCAAGTGACTGGAGGACACGTCTCTCTCGAATGTACTGTTGAGGGTGACCGGGATTGTGCCGTTGACCCTGATCAATATTCATGCGCAGTCGCTGAAGCGTGGCACCCATGCATGCTGGTTCCGTGGAGTTCGCTTCTGCCGTGCGTTGGGGTTCCAGAGTCTGGCGAATTCGTTGATTTCACCTTTCGAAGAGCTGGTCACCAACTCTGAGGACAAATGATGGACCGCGAAAGTGCTCGATTTTGCACGGATGGGGCGTGATCGGTTGCGGCATGCGCATCGGCAGTAGTTCACCTTGTGCGGGACATTCCTGATGCGCACGCTTCCGAGCACTTGCCGGTGGCTATGTGCTTTAATCGGCGGAAGCGTCGGCAGACAAGACTCCGCGAAACAGCGGTGCCTGCGCCGATACTACACTGGCTTGTCAACGCCGGTACGTTCTTGGCCGAATTGTCAGAGGCAGTTGAGCAGTGGTGATCGCGACGTTCGTCTGGCTTGCAAGGTCTACGTAATGCCGCGACTTGGCGCAGGCATGTTGAAGTCTTTCCTGGAAGAGGGCCGATATGCTGTGCAGCTCGCATCGCATAGATTTGAAATCGCGCTGGCAGTGAACGCTTCCACGCGGGAGGGCCGCAACGTGACCCACGCACAGTTTGCGCGGTGGATGTGTGCTTGCCCCGATGTCCGAGCAAAGGTCACAGTGGAGTTTGACATGAATTGCAGCATCGCTCGACCGCTCGAGCCGTCGCAAGCGCTGGAACTGCTCCGCGAACTCCACGGGAACGTCGTGCGAGAGCAGGCCACCAAGAAGCTCTAGACCAAGAGCCCTCTGCTGCTGTGGAGGCTGTGTCTAAAATAAGTCCAGCGGTGTGAGCAACAATTAAGGCCTCCAAGCCGCACGATGGGATTGTGACGTCCTTGAAAAAAGGCATGCGTGGTTTGAACGATTTCACATTGAAAATCTGCGGGACAAAGATAGCGACGATTATGCGGAAGGCAATCCGGACATTGCTGGAGCACTGCGCCGCGAGGCTCTGCGTAGACAGGGATCGCCCAAAGGTGATTCAAGCAAATTTCAAGGCCTGCTCCGTGATTGGGTTCTTGATATAAGCAGGGCTGCTCTGGCATTGTCGCACGACGAAATCATCGACATGTTGCTTAGCATCTCTGGCAATAAACACCAGGCACAACAGGAGTGAGAGAACAACTATGTAAAATGCATGCCAGCACTGAACACCGAAGCCCTTAACGAGCTGACTGCTGGTGAACGCAATGCTCCCGATCACTTGACATTTTATCGTTAGTTTGCCTTTCAGAAGAAAGAAAGCGGAGACAGCGTCAGACAGGTCCAGGATCTAGAACTGGCCAATGAGGACGCGAAGATCATTAGCCGCATGTTCGTTCGCACTCTTGATCACGATTGCGCTGCGCATTTGAAACAAGGGTAGCATGCCCTCGTGACTGGAGCGCAGATCGAGCGCAACGTCATCAAAAATATCTGAAACCATCATGCGAAAGCAGCAGAACAAAACTGATGTGCGTTGCTTTTTCCTGCTGGATTCCACCAAAAGCTGAAACTTGATGTCGTGGGAATAGACGATTGCAGTTCTGCTCCGTGCCCGACTTCCAGAAACATGTTGCACGGAATCCAACAGTTAATGAATCAGCACTGCGCGCTCGCGCGTCTCAAGAGCGACGTGTTTCCAGCCGTGCGGGACAGCCCCACTGCCCACTGGACAGGCACCTTCTGCAGGACTTGCGCAAGGCACTGCCTTATCCTCGTTGCCACCCAGCCCCTGACGCACGGACAAGAAGCCACTGTCAGCGACTCGCCCATCCCGGATCAGGACCGCGCCCAGTGGCCGCACGAGGTCACCTTCGACGGCGGGGCCCGCTCCATCGCGGGCAGGGCGAAGGTGGCAGGAGCTGGCGCCACACTATGGCACCACCCGGCCTCCGGCGGGCCACCCACAAGGATCGCCTCTTGCGTGGTCGCCATCCCCGGCTCGGACAGCGCACAAGTCGGTGAGACCACCGGCTGCCCGGCCGGCCTCGGCCTAGTGGACGCCCCAGATGCGTCCACCGCTGGCGCGCACGCCGCCAGAATCGTGGGCGACAACCTCGCCGAGGTCCAATACGGGGCCGGCACGGGTCGATATCGGAGACTGCACCTGTGTGCACAGATGGATCAAGGCCTCCGTCCCTTGGCCGCCAAGGAATGGCGACTCACTTGGCAGGCCGTCAGAAGACGGCTTAACAAGGCTGCGGACGCGCTCGCCACCCTAGGTGTCTTCTGGGCCGATGGCCTCAGACAGGCGGGGCACACCGCCGTGTCCACCTGGATTGCGTGGCACGCCGCACCCACCTACGACGTGCCATACGCCTTCCATGACCCTAGTTTAGCCGGGCTCCCCGCCCCAGATCCCCGCAGCAATTGACGCGCTCGAGTCACGCGCCAGCAGGGATAGCAGGTATAGAGGTGGTGCCTAATCCCCCTTCTTCGTCTTCTCCGCTCGCTCCGGCCCTGCCAAGGGCCGGGACGCTGCCCCCTGCATCCGCTACTACCTGAACATTGGGCTTCTTTTGCCCCCCTGATTCCCCATTGTGGCCAAGGCCAAGATTGTGGCCCGTTAGCCGCACGCGGCGCCCTGCCACCGACAATCACTCAAGGACACACTTCGGCGCATCGTGTTCAAGTGTCGCGAGGCCCCCGGCATCCGCTGGACCTACATGGACGACAACAACGGCAGCGGACACTGGGGCTGGCTCTGCGACGAATGCGGCAAGGCGGTCAACGACCAGCACCACTTCACGTCCACCGAGCACATGAAGCAGCGCAGGCAGACCCCGCTCGCAAGGTATATGGAAGGAGAAGCTCCCCACAGACTCCCTGATCCCCAGCGGCCCATGATGGGAGGCGACCTTTGGAGCATGACCGAGGGCAAAGACACGCCAGACATCCCGCAGGCGCAGTATCCAGGCCGGTGCTGGACCTGGGACCACGACGACAAGATGTCCCCTATCGACCCCTGCGTCTACGAGTCCGACTGGGACTGGATTCCGATCGGCTTTCCTGGGTGCTACGACGAGCCAATATACTCTCCCCCACTGGGGCTGGTAATCAACAACGAGGACGCGCGATCTCCCTGGACCAAGGCCGCAAGCCCCAAAGAACAGGCGAAGGAGCAGGAGCTCCGCCACGCAGGGCACGCACTGGCCGGTTCCTTGGCCATGCGGGGTGCGTCCAGTTCCTCGGCGGACCGTCTGCCGACGCACCACCGCCCCCTCCCGGGCCTCCGCCCGCGGCGCAAGCAGCCCTCCCCGGGCCCCCCGCGTCCTCCTCAGCCGGCCCTAGCGGCTCCGGGAGCTACCCGGATCCATCCAGAGGCCCCGTCATGGCCGGAACACCGGCCCCACCTTCGCCAGGGGCGCCCGTTAACGGAGAGCGGCACACGCAGCTCGCCAAGCACGTCGAGAGCGTCGCAGCGTCCCCTGACATATGGTCAGAAGCAGCGCTGCGTCGCGCCCCTGCCTCGGATCCGTCCCTGGAGCAGCGACGTAGAGCCCCCCGACGACGGCACCACGACAACCCGTCAGATCATCGCCAGCAAAACCACCTGCGCTCTTGACGTGCAGATTTTCCCCTGCTTCGCGCCTGGAGAGCACTGCAAAGATCTCCTGGATAAATATCAACTGCATGATCGACTCAGAAGCCAGCGACCAGGCCAAAGCGAATAATACATGCTCCTGTGGGAAAAGATGTGGGCCATGGAATGGACGGAACGCGACATGGCATCCGGTAACCCCAATCCCTTCATGGTCTCCAAGACCTCACCAACGGTGGACTCCCTGGCTGAGATGACCCCTGTCTGGCCCCCGGCCCCTGGCGCCAAAGTCTCGGGCACTGACCGCAGCTGCCCGTTTGGCATAGCCCTGGCCCACTACGACGCCAAGAAGCACGGGCCCTTCCACGACAGCGACGCCACCGTCAGGAGACCAATCCCTGGCCAACCTTACTACAGAGTCGACCGCACCACGAAGATGGCCCGATTCAACAAGGTCGACGCCGCGATCCGGGAATTCTTCTCGGCCCGGTGTGAGAGGGCAGCCATGTGGGGCACCGCCCTCCCACCCATCGTCTGGGCGCTCGTCTTCCGTCACGAGGATCGCGACAACAAGACCAGCGCTCTGTCCGTGCCCGCGCAATGTGTGGCAGCGGATCGACTGCTTGCGGCCTCGGCCACCCTGGAACGCATGATCGACGACCCCGACCAGCCTGGCGCGAGCGGACGAGCGGTCGAACCGCCCCTGACACTCCAGCAGGCTGACGAGTCCCCAGGCTGCGTCTTTCAGCGACTGCTGCCTGCCCCGCGGGAGGATCACCTCAACCGCACCTGCGACCAGCACCGAACCAACGAAGCCCAGCGTCGCTGCGTGCTTGCGACCCAGAACTCACTCCTCACCCTGTGCCACGGGCCGCCCCGCACAGGTAAGACCAAGGTCGCGGCCTGCATCGCGGCCGCCTACATGTCGCGCCTCGCCTCAGGATGGGGCGTGGGGTGCTTCGGCGGCACCAACGGCTCCATGGACACCCTGGCTGAGCAGATCGGGAAGAACCTGACTGCGACCTGTTCCCGCGCTAGGCCGTGCGCCTCGCGCACGAGGAGAAGGTGAAGGGCAACACTGCCAGGAAGATGACCCCCGTCGCTAAGTACGCCGCAGAGTACAACATCCCAGAAGGCGAGGTCACAACCACGGATCACGCGCGTTGGTTCCATTAGTTCCGGGCCGAGATCGCAGCCGAGGCGAAGCTTATCCTGACCACGCACGCGGCGGGGGCCGACTGTGGGACAAGAAGTTCCTCATCTGCCTCCTGGACGAAGCGGGTCAGACGTCCGAGCCCATGGCTATCATGTCCCTGATCCACGCCGCCCGATGCGGGGCCAGAGTTGTCCTCTTCGGCGACAAACGGCAGCTATGTTCAACGGTGAAGTCCCAGCAGGCACTGCGCTGGGACCTCGGCATCTCCATCCTGGCCAAGTTCGCGTCAGCAAAAGGAGAGATCCCTGACTGCAACGTAACCCTGGAAGAGTGCTACCGCAACCACCCTTCCCTGCTTGCTTGGCCCTCGATCACGTTCTATGGGGGCAGGCTGGTCTCGGCCATCCTGAACCCCATGAAGCAGCGCCCCAGCGCCGAGGGACTTCATTGGCCACGCGCAGAGCCGATGTCCAAGGAGGAGTACAACGCAGCGAAGAGCGAAGAGAGTGGATGCGGCCCCACCAACTCCCTGATCGACACCGCAGGCGGGCTCAGGAGCAAGGCGGCCTGCCCACCTGACCCAAACACGGGAGACGGCAGCGCCGTCTTCGACCAGCACCGGCCCCTCCTAGCGCACGTCCCCTCACGAGAGGTCCAGTCCGTGCACCAGGACGGCTACGCCAACAGTCACGAAGCACGCACCCTGGTAGCTCTGGTCAAGGCCCTCGTGCCTTGGGCTACACGCACCCGCAGCACTATCCTGGTGCTGTCGCCATACAAGCTGCCGCTTACCCCCGCGCTGGCCTGCAACCCCTGCTCCTCCCAAGACATCAGGCGTTGCCTGAGGCGGGCGCGGGCGCGGCCGGCTCGCAGCGCTCTCAGAGCCGGGGCAGCTCTCGTTCCTTACCTGCTGACACGAGGTCCTTCACAAGAGGGACCTGGATCAACCACGCCACGTCAGCCAACGGCCTGAACGAGCGCTTCGATGGGCTCATGGACCTTTTCCCACACCTCCTGGAAAACGAAACCCTGCGCGTTACCACCATCGACTCTGCCCAGGGTCAAGAGGCATCCATGGTCATACTGCTGACCACCTGGGCCCAGAAGGCGAGCCTTACTTTCGAGTTCCACCACAACTCGGACGGATCTCTGCGCCAGACCCTCGCGGACCCACGCGTCTTACAGGATCACATCCCTGACACCGCCAACCCAAAGGAGAAGGCCCGGCTGCAGGCGGACGGTAACCGCAAGCAGAAGGAGAGGGAGGTGTTTCAGCCGACAAGCCCAACAGGCGGGCTTCTCGGCCCGCGCCGACCTACCCTCCCCTACGGACCACAGCGTGTCGGACCTGGAGGAGGACGTCAACATGGCAGTCGTGCGACTCCTGTACTGCGCTGCCTTCGGACCCTGCCTTCGTTGGTGCCTCGAACTGCGCCCACACCAGTTCGGCGTGGCGGACCAGCCCACGGACCCCAGCTTGCAGGACAGGAGAGGATGAGACATGAACGGGTACCTCTCTTTCTGCTCAAGGCTGGTGGGACTGGACGCCGGCAACCTGGTCGACGGTCTACACGGCAGTCTTCGCGACCATCATGTGGGCCATCGGGCTTGGAGCCACCGGCAATGACAACGCCCAGGCCGTTCACTCCACCCTGATTTCAACAAGAAGGGAGCGGCCGAACAGGCCGACCGCGTGGTACGTCAAGGAGGCCTGCCTCCCAAGCACCGCCTCCAGGCGCCGCCCCACATGTTGGCGACCAACAACCTGCAAATGCCAGAAGAACAAGGAACCACCCACACCAGAGGTGCCCCAGGCTCTCTGCGACATGAGCTCAGGCAGGCGCCGGACCACAGTCCTGCACCGCCTCCTGGACAGCACCGGCACGACCCTGGGGGGCCATCAAGGCCAGAATCCTGCTCGCCCTGTCCCTACTCTTGCAACGCGAACCGCGCACCTGCCTTTACCCATACAGGGACGCCGAGGGCATCGGCGACGTGATCGAGGCTATCCTGAGCTTGTGTAAGCCATACCGGCCGCGCGACAAGGTTGCGCGAGATCAGCTGGAAGCACTTTTCGGGCGTCAGGCCAAGAACTTCAAGGAGCTACATTCGGCGCTGGAGCTCCTGATCTCTGCGGTGTCCCGCTTGGTCCTGGTCGCCCACCACCACCACCACCACCCTCTCGCCATCCAGGCGGGGAGCCCCCACACCTGGAGGGAGCTTCAGACCGCAAAGTCCCCGCTCCAGGCCACCCTCGCCGTCATCGAAGCGACAGCCCATGCCGCCGACCAGTCGGCCCTGGCGGACCACGAGCGCGGGATATTCTCTCACACACCTGCACCTGGACGCGCCCGCCCCACTCGGGCCCCAACCTGGCGTGACGCTACGGCCTCCCTGGATAGACGACCGCGACACTCGGTGGGTGAAGGAGCAAAACACACCCAACTTCTACTGCCAGGGGTGCCTCCGCGGCCTGTCCAAGCACGACCAAGGAGCGTACATCAGCAAGCGGGGCCGCCAGGTCATCACGGTCAACAAGCAGACAGAGTACTGCCAAGGGGTGGACCTCACCTGGCTGTGCATTTGCTGCTGGACCACGACAGCCCTGCAGGAGAGACGACCCATCCCGGAGGACGTTAAACTCAAGGATTGGGTCAACGATCGCCCCGAGGACATGCCGGTGCACCACGCGTGCCCTGCCTGGACTTTGCCCAGCGCCGACACCCACGGCAGACACGCCCCTGGAGCAGCTCCTGGCCCCACTGGACGGCAAAATGAACCCTCGCAGCGTGGGCACCACTCTACCAGCCAGCAACACGAACGACGACGGCTTCATCTCCCAGTCCCACACGAGCAACGTCGGCATTTGCCGGTGCGACGGCTGCCCGCCCGGCACAGAAGGGCACAGGTGACAGCCTGGAAAGCCCATCCCCGGCATGTACAGCCACGCCGCTGACCCTGAAGGCCTCCGCGTTGGCCTAATCCTGGTCCCTGGGCCCCACCGGCCACGCTCATGAAGGAGATGTTCCTGTCCAGGCGCTGGCAAGCAGGCTGGAACTGCCAGGACTGCCTGTCCCACCGATGGGAGAGACCCCCCTCTGCAGTGCGACGCGTGCTCGACACGGCCCTGCGGTATACTCTGGCCACGGAGCCCAGCCCCTGGCCGCGCTATACCCGGCACCCCTGCTGCCCCCACGGGGTCGCATTGCGCCCCAGCCAGCAGGACGTACAACGGCGGGCTGCCGCCTGGGACCAGGAGGCGCGCGCCAACCAGCAGCGCATCCGCGGCACACTGCCGCCCCAGCCGAAAGACGAGCGACCTCGACGCGCCTAAGCGCAAAGGGGGACAGCCAGGGAGACGCACGCACGGGTCGTGGCACAGAGGAGAGGCCAGGACGTCGCAGGCGCAGGCAATGGAAAGGCCAGACACACAGATGCAGCTACCAGCGCGGCAGCGCAGCGAGCCCACCTGCCTGCGACCAGCAGTGGGCCCCAGCAGGACGACGTTCCCCTGACACACGGGCGCCACACCCGTACCCCAGATCCCACCTGCAGCCTAAGGCCCAGCAAGGACCGGCGCCTGACGCCCACCGAACGGCACGAGGACCCCGCAGCCGCCCCACGGAGAGTGGCGGAAACACCACCGCCCACGCCGAGTGAAAGCAAACAGGCGTCGATCACACCAAGGACGCGCCCCACGGCGGCCAAGTCCGCGGGGGGCTCCACCAGCTGCCATCGCAATCCCTGGTCCCCGCCTTGAACGCGCGCATCGCGACCGTGACCGAGGGCAAGGACGAGTCCGGGACAAACCCCTCCAGGTCCCGACCCGCCCGATCCTGATTGACAGCCCAGACATCGGGAGCGGCGACTACATGGTCATCCGGAACGACACCCTGCCCCGAGCCAGGTGGTTGGCAGCAGCGAAAAGCAACGAGCCCCTGTTCGCGCAGCCCCTGGAAGGAGCAGTATTCGGACGGATCCGCGACGTCCAAATCCGCACGGAGGGCGGGCAACGATTCCTGGTCGTCCAAAGAGGCACCGAGTGGCTAGAAATCCGGGGTGCTGAGACCAAGACGCTACGCGCTGACATCCTACGCGGCAGCGCGGCGAGCTGCGCCGCCGCCGTCCTGGAGGGAAACCCCGAGAAGGCAGAACCGTCGCAGCAGCGTCCGCGGAAGGAGCTCAGCCCAAGTCCAGGCCCGAGACCCGCGCTCCGCGGGCGGTCGCACGGGACCCCACGCACAAGCCGCCGCCGTGCGATTACACCAGGGAGGAAATCCCTGACCACACCTCCGAGGACCAGGAGGACGAACAGGCTCAGAGGCTGGCGGAGGCCGCAGACATAGTCCGAACGGTCTCACCCTCCCCAGACCCTGGAGCACATCGGCAGGTCCACATCGGGACGAGCCCCTGGGAGGTGTGGCGCAGCAGCCCTGAACGCGGCACCGACACGCCGCACCAGGCCCGTCAGGCCGACACCCGCGCCCCGCGAACACCGATCTGGACGGCGGCCACAGGGGCCGGGCACACCGCACCCGACCCCCATCCTCCGCTCGAGTACAATCGCGGACCGATACGAGAGCACGGCTTGGCGCCCGTCCCAGAGACACCAGCGACCAGGACCGAGCCAGAGAGCGCGACCGCGACCGAGACCGCGATCGCGACAGGAGCGGAGGGGGGTCTCCTGGCAGCGGTACGACGATCGCCGCAACCCGGCACACAAGGAGGAGCGCCGCCGCCCTGACCACCACCGCCCCTAGGAAGACCGCCGCGTCAACTGGCCGAGACGCCCAGACCAAGCGCTTACCTGCCCTGAACGCTCCCCCTGACGCCGCCGCCGCCCAGGGTGCCGGATCAACCGCCCCTCCTGCCTCTGGCAGGCCTCTCGGCGCTGTTTTCCTTGTACGACCTGTTTTTCGCCTTCTACAGCGCCCAGCCCTCTCCCCCTTCTCCTCTTCTCCGACACACCTGAAAATGGG